ACCTTCAAGATTTGAAGACTGTTTGTGTGGAAGAATGGGCCAAAATCACACCTGAGCAATGCATGCCACTAGTTTCTCCATACAGGAGGTTTCTTGAAGCTGTCATTGACAACAAAAACTTTTGTACAAAGTATTAGATAAATTTCAGTAAGTGTGTTCAATACTTTCCCCCTGTGCCATTCCACATTATTACAAATAACTTCATTTCTGGACATTTATGGTTTGATTTCTTTTGGGTTGTTACCGACATCTGGTGAAAATTTCATGTCATTAACACCTCTAGTAATATATTTACTGAGAAAAATGTTGACGTGTTCAATACTTATTTTACCCGCTGTATATTATTAGCTCTTTTTGGCATATAAATTAAGAGGATTAAAGTTGAACGATCTGATAATATCCTAGACAAGAATTCAGATTCTACTATATGAATTATCTGTGTTGATAATGGAAAAAATCAATCTGTATAAATGAGTTGTGGTGACCTGAGTAAAAGGAAAAATGCTGTGGCTGTGGGCGCATTAGTTTCCATACTTCTGTTAAATTAACTTCTTACATAAAGTCTATAGTAATTTTGGTTACCTTGGTTTTAGATACTGATGAGGTGGACTCCTGAAGTGGATCCAAGCAGAAGTTAAAATCACCCCTATAAGAATGTTATGTGCACCTGACACCTTCAAAAATATGTCCTGGATAAATTAATCTTCATTTTTGGGAGCATATAAATTTAATAGATTTCAGGGCTCTTAATAAATCTGGCAATTTATTACAATATACATCCCCAATGTATCAACAATAGTCTCTTCAATTTATTAGAATTGCCACTCCCCTGGGTTTAGAATTGAAGGATGATGAAATTACGTGTCCTACCCAATCTGTCTTGTTTCCTATGCTCCAGAGCTGTCAAGTGGGTCTCTTGTATGAAGGCAATATCTATTTTTAGATTTTAAAATGTGTTAGGCCTCTCTTCCCTTTGACCGGTTCATTTAAACAATTCACATTAAAGCTTACAAATTTAACTATTCAATTCATCAACAGTATGTCTTTTTAAAGAAAAGCTGCATGCTCCATAATACAAAACCATAAGTGGTGCACTAACAAAAAACAAACCCTGAGTGCCTACTCTTGAACATTGAACATTCAATACCATCTAACCCGTTGTACTGGGCTGTACAAATTGGACATATCAAACTGACCATAATGCCATTCTGTTCATCCAGGGCTCTGTTAGAGGACTGTAGTTTATAATTGTCCATTTTTAAAGGGGAGAATAAAGACATTTCAAATATTCAACATCACTTTTTTTAAATAACAAAACTGTCGTAATATAAACTTAGTTGGTTTTATCTGAGGTTCACCTTGGTCTTAATCTTTCCTCCACTTCACCCCGGTGTCAGGACATTGTGACAGTTTTAACAAATATGTAAAAAAACATTTTTATAAAAGTGACCAATTGCATCTTTAAGTCATTGACAGGTATTTTAGGAGGGAATCTTCCAATTTTCGCAGTTGCATGAACTATGCTAGATGAGCAAAAAGCCCTTCACAACTTGTTTGCCTTATATCCATTGGGTTTGGAAAAGTAGAGATAATAAATAAAAACCAGTAGCTCACCATTCGCTATGGGTATTGCCACCACCTTGAGGACCATTTGGAATATGTGGTCAATGGTGCTGACCTGTAGTGTAGGTTTATGGTTAGTTTTGAGATGGAGTTGAGGATGCTCACAGTGACTCATATTTAAATGTAGTCCTTACCTCAAACTGTCCAACATAACTTGTACCCAGAGACAGTTTCATTCTGGTCAGATTTGGCAAAATTAGAATTAGATGAATAAAGCTTTGAAGGAATTCCAAGTAGCATTTTTTCTTCGATGTTTTTTAAAAACTTACTTGTTGAGGCTGAGACTTCCAGCGATCTTCATTCCAACAACAAACACCTGAGTGCTGATGCTGCTCTCCTACCAGAACAATGTTGACACAGTTCATGACTTGTTTTCGTAAGCAAATTAATGACTTTTCATGTGCTCAGCACTGTGACGTACCACGTTAAGAACAAACAGAGGGGAAAGGGTGCCATTGAGTTGGATCGCGTAGGCTGTGATTGTGGCGTTGGTCTGAAGTGTTGCATTTTTGGGTTTAAAATTAATTTGTGGATTTTCCTCAGTCTTCAGCAGCAGCTTTATCATCAAACCAGGAAACTGTTTGGCAATCTTAAAAACAGATACATACATAAATGACAAGCAGCTAGCAATGTTTTATGCATCGTACATTTGTGGTATTCTTCTCACCTGTGGGATTAAGGCCCCAAACGTTTTTGTGTTCAGTCTGAATGGAGAGCTCTTGGGTACCTGTCATGACAGTGGCAGTGCAATGGTTAATGAGATTTGTGAAACGTGAATGCTCCCGACAGTCAGGAAGATGCAGCGCACCATGTCATCTGTGATGTAAATGCTGAGCACTTTGGCGTTGTTGTAGACGAAGGCCGCAGAGTTGAAGGTGAACGCAGACAGGGCAATGTACAACATGTTGTCAGTCTGAGGCGGCAGGGAAAGGGCTGTGGGGGAGAATGGGGGCTCCTGATGCTTCCCTATGTTGTAGAATTCACCCTATGTACAAATAAAACATGAACAACATCATGTAAAAGTTTTCAAGATCATTTTAAAATGTGTAATAAATTCCATTTCTTTACCTTTAAGCTCAGGTCTATAGAAGACGTTGAAACTGCTGGAGATGAGACCATAGAATATTCAATCTCTGCATACTTGTCCACCTTGGCCAGCACTGCAGTGATGTAGAGACTCACTTTTATGTTCAGTATTTGTAAAACATCATGAAGGTTAGAAAATGAGATGTTTTACCATTGAGAGTTTTCAGCTGAGGGACCAGAGCTTCAACTGCTTTGGTCACCAGAGGACAGATCTGCATCAGTAAAGAAGGACAAACATTATTTCCAAACTTTACTTTTGCATTTCCATCTGCTACCAGTGTTATCTTCATTTGTCTGTGAGGGGTATGTGTGAGGTTTGGTCGCTCAGTTGTGATGGGCACTCTTCTCCACTGATCAAAAACTATAGTTCTGCTATAGAGTGACTCCCCTTCCTCAGTATGTACTGCCTCCGTCTTGCTAAATGGGAAATATGGACTTGGGTAATATTTAAGACCAACCAAAACACAAAAATGACAAAAAGACAAAAGATAAAAATTACATAAAAAATGTTTTTCCCCATGGTTAAAATGCATTTTTCAATCACCTGATTTAAGACATGTTTAATTCAATTAACCCACTATTTTTGTAAGATCCAAATAAATATATTTTATCCTCCAGTACAGTTGTTTATCACTGTGACTCATCATAAGGGCTGTTTGTTGTCACAGAAGAAAATAAATTCCTGAACACTATCATGTGGGCTATATAGACAATTGAAGAGCTTTTTGGGGAGATCCTGGTCTGATGCAGAGTGATAGCATCCATCCTACTTTGTCTGGAGCTGCTCTCCTTTAGGAATTTGTCCAACCACTTGAAATTCTGGTTCATGAAGCATCTAACTTAACCTTGTTGAAAATTGTCAGACTAGGCTTCGGATATTTTTTAAATGAATCACGATTAATCTCAATAATGTGCATAAAATGAAAGTATGACTCAAAGATGTTTAGAGCATTTATCAGGTATTGATTTACATAAAGTTACAGCGTGTATTCAAAAGCTTGCAAGCCTGTCTTGTTAGTTGTTGTTTCTCTCCCACATGCTGCATCCAGCCATCTGCAGAAGTCTGTCTCTGTTTGTTACTGTGGGCGACTGGCATCAGTGGTGTGTTTAGAATTTTAGTGATATTTCAGGCTCAAACTACTCCTGTAAGACATTTCTACAGCAAAGGCTCTCATTGGCTGAGACGTGCGATGATGGCTATCCAAAACCAATAGTGATCAAGATCCCACTCCCGTTCAGTGTTCAGCATATCAGAAAATTAGAATCTTGTGAAAAGGTTCAAAATGGATGGCACCTGGTACCACACTCTAATCAGCTAATTAACT